CGATCTAACATAAACAAACTGATTTCTCCTTAATTACTTGAAAATTAAATTGTTGGACTTTGATTTTGATATGTTTTATTACTGGGCGCATTTCTGAATAGCGCTAGCTGGTAACTTAGCGTATGAGAACAGAGTGTTGAATTGGTCTTTAGTAAGGTAGGGGGGTTGGTACTGGATTGATTTAAGATGACTAACCCCAGGATTTCTGTTATTGAGCAGTGAAGTTTACAATCAGGACTAGTTATTTAATCTATCAAATATAATCTGCATCAAGAGTTGCTCCTCCGTTGGAGTTCAACAGAATGTGGTTGAGGTATTTCCCTTACCCCCACTACCACCATTGCAGATTTTCCCCTGCAGGCCACTCCCACATTCTGTATTTTCTCAATCGCTCTGCCTTTCATGTTCTCCTTGGCTTTTTTTCTCTCCCTCTCCTCGGTCATGCCCTCTGCTGACCTCTTTGCACAAACTGATAAGGGTCAGGACACCCAACAGGTCAAGCGAGAGGAGGGAACTCGGATTACTCCAATTTTTTCCTTCTTTTTCTCTTTTCCTGCGTTCACTAACGTATGCGTACTCTGCATTAGAGGCAGAGGCACACAGCCCAAGATTTCACTACATGTGCTGCTGCAAGTGCATGCTGCGAGACGCGACAATGATGCTACTTCCTATTTAATGATTTGTGTGTTTTCCTGCATTGCTGCAGAACAAAAGGGGTTGTGTGGCTTCCTCGCTGGTGTCTTGTGGGAATTTAGGAGTATGGAAAAGGGGGGTCGGGGGGTCGGACTGCAAGATGCGCCACTCAACTTTGACCTGGAGAAAGAAACTGCTTGGTGAATGAAGGGAGGAGAGGAAGAGGAAATACTCTTGTGCCACAGACTGGAGACCGGTCGATGATTATTCATCATGATTCTCAGTGTTTTGTGGGGGATGGGCTCTAAGTTTTTGCTCCAGTTTTATAGATTTCCACTGAAAGAATGCCTTTTGGTCATTGGCATCAATAAACCATATATATATATATATATATATATATATATATATATTATATATATATATATATATATATATATATATATATATATATATATATATATAAGATTATAGCAAAAATAAGTTTTTTATAAAAAGACAAAAACTATAATGTTGATGACTATTAAATGTCTTTTTTCTTATAAAATTTGTTTTTTGTTTTAAAATAATAAAGCAAAATCATAATTTTTTTGCATACATTTATTTGTACATGATATGAAATCTAAAAAAAATGACTAATGTAACATATGCTCTTATTTTTTTATCTACTACATTTAATATCTATTCACAGTAAAAGTATCTTATGATAAACAAGTAAAAATGATTGTCATCCTCAAAACAATAATGATGATACTTATTATAACGGCCAGTGTGATCGATGTCAGTTGGTTGAGGCCACGCACTCTCGTTTGTGACTCACTGTTCTGTCCCATCTGTTTTATTCCATCTCTTGCATCTGCGCTGCAGAACTGTTGCTCTCAGCTCATTTCCATTTCCTGATCCTCCTTCACTTCCTCAGAGCTCAATACCTGAACAACAGGAATGGATGAGCTGCGTCAAATACGCTTCTCCAAGAAGACAGAATGGCTTTAAAGCTGATGAGTGGAAAGAAACCGTTATTTCTGAGAAAAAAAAACTGCATCAAATTAAATTACAGGAGTTGCATAATTGTTTTTTTTTTATAGTTATGTAAATTCCACAATCTTCTCTCTTCATTTAAAACTATTCATTGTTTTTGTGATTATCATTTGCTTTTGTGACCTTGTAAATTATGTTTTATAAGCAGAAATATTTACATTGCTTAAAAGTTATGAAAAGATTTGACAGAAACGTCTTTTTTATCATTCCAATTTTGTTTGTAGAACAGTAAGGCCTGTTAAGCTCAGTAACGAGCAGAAAGATAAACGTTCAAATCATAGACAATGTAAGTGTAATTTGATTTTTGTGATATTGTAAATACAACAATACCAGTTATCAAAAATATTTCATACAATTTAGTTAGAATAGTTAAAATAAGTTGGATTTTATGATTGTTTAATGTTTATCCTCCCTCTGTTGGTAGAGTTTTACCACTTAGCTTGTTATGTATGCTTATAAATTCTCAGAAAATATCAGAGTAAAGTAAAATGTCTTTATATATTTCTTTAAATTTGTAAAATTTTGAATTGCATAAACATAAGTACAGTCTTTAGCTTTAAACTTTTTAATTTTAGAGTTGAGAGCTGAAATAAATTTTTAAAAATATTTTATTATTATTTTATTTGTTTGCTTAGAATTGATGCAAACGAATAAGTGCTGTCAATATTGATTTGGCATAGCTACAATGGAACTCCCAATGGCAAAGCTTGAAAAACGTAAACATAAAACTTGTATGAAATATAAAGTACAGCAGGAGTTAGAATTATTTCTATCCATGGCAAAGTTAAGTTATTTTCTTTTATTTAACTGTTTGTTTATGTCTGAAAATAAGACAGGTCTCCAAAAGATGACACAAGAAGAGTAGATTTTGAAATCATGAGTTATCTTTTTCTATTTTTTATTTATTAGGAGTTGATAGGTCAAAAATTGTTGGGACACTTCTCAATAATCAGTGGACAAATCTATTTTTACAATAGTAATAAATGATCAATTTCATGGTCTCACTGGTATTTTGGGAATTTGTTTTCAGTTCCAAGTATTTGAAGTTGGAAGGTCTCTTTGTAATCTTTAAATCCTTCACGGATTCAGATTGAATTCCGGACTTTGGCTGGGCCGCTCCAAACATTAATATTGCTTCCAGTCAGAAGAAACAGGCTGCTAAAAATCTAAAGGTTATTTTAAACCTAAATAATTGGGGGCTAGCTGCACATTGTAACTGTATAATTATGTACAAATGCAATTACTACAACACAGTGTAGAAAACCAAAATAAAGATGGCTACACAGCGATTTGTGGAATCAAAAGAAAGTTAAACCTATGACATTTCATAGGTCACATGAATTCTAAAGTTCTGTTCAATTATTTATGTTTTAGCCAATCTCTTTTTGGTTCTTTCTTACTTCAAAAACCTCCAGACCTTTAAATTATTATTTAGTTTAGTCTTAAAACATTAAATAAAATGATAAAGAAATTAAAATGTTTTTGCTGACACTTTTGAGATAGTGGTCAAGATCAAAGAGCAAATATTACAATAAACATTTCACACATTTCATAGATTTTTTTAAGTCAATAGGATTTAATGAATAAGATTCCTACGCTACTTTATAAAAAAAGAACTTTTATCAAAAAAGACACTTTCATTGGTTTTCAACTGTAAATTAAGCTGCAGAGGGTTCATCCACCGAGCTTCTTTGCACTCTCTTCTCTTTGTTGTATACATTGACATTTTTCCTCCTGTATATATTCATTTGTGCATACAAGACTCCTATAGATCACCTTTAGCTTCCTGCAACTGCAGTAGACTTGAGGGGGAAAGAAAATAGCTGCTGGGCGCATTTTCTCTCTCCTGCCTCTACGGTTCTACGTTTGATTTGTTCGGAACTCTTCATTGCTTGTTTCCTTCCTTTCTTTCTTTCTCCTGTCTCCTACACGTCTGTCTCTTTAGCAGGCATTGCTTTTACAGATAACCTGCATTTGTTATTTATAGATGCTTGATGTATAGCAGGTTGCAGGCTTGCTGTTGCACGCTGCACGCTCGTGTGGGGGTGTGTGTGTGTTTACCTATGCCGGGATCTGCAGGGCTCGCCTCGATTTGTGAAGGTCATGGATACAGTGCCTATAAGCTGCCGCTTCTGTCGCGATCAACGAGACATAAATCACTGTCCGCTGGTTGTGCAGTAACTAAATCAATAACTGGGATCATGTAGAAAAGACGGATGGTGAATGTGTTAAAGGGAAATGATGGCACAACAGCATGACTTGTGTCTTTAGAGGCTGCAGAATGGATAGGAAGTGGCATCTCTGCAAAAGTAGATAAAGAGAGAACACCAAGGACGCGCTGCACACAAAAAGTCATGTTATGTTCATATAGCATGCTTGAGGGGGAAAAAAACGGTCTTTGTCTCAGCGCGTTTCACGTTGTTTTGCTGAATGTTTTTTCCTTTATGTGGCAGTGTGAAAAATCCCACATAGTAATGTTTATTTTGTTTATTGGTGCTGATGTTCTGTGAAAAGTTAGTTGCATTTGGGAAGTGTTGATTGGAGAGCCGTTTGTTCACAGTTACAGTATATGTGGCGACCGCTCAATATGTAGGTGTTAAATTTGCCCCAATGGGTGTGGAGGCTTCTGGAACTCTGAGGCAACGGTGGACGCAACATGAAACCGATGCAATGATCACATTTTGTATAGGAAAGACAAATGTGTTCTCTGAACCTAAATAGTTTGTGCCAGTTTTCTAAGATGAAGCGAAAAATGAAAGTTAAAAACATTATTCATTATGGTCGCATCAAATCTAAATCTGAATTGCTTTTTTATTTCTTTTTTTAAATAAATGATCATCCTGCTGATGTTCAATTTTCTAGGGATGCACTTTGTCAGAAAAAAGGAAGGAAATTAGATCAAGATAACAGCTTGAAAAATCCAAAGGATTATAACTCAGAAAAGAGTAACAAAAAGGAAAGCTTCAGATAATTCTTAGATAGAATTAGTACTTTTCAATCAAGCTGAAAAAGAAGGTATCAGAAGATAAATTTGATTTCTATAAAATTTGATCAAATTGTTTGTAATATTTGATTTGTTTTTACACCAAAAATGGTGGGAGTCCCCCCCCCACCTCTTTTTTTTATGGATTTGAATGTCAACGATCAGAGCAGCTGTATGAAAAATTGGCCAATTCTCATGTCTGGCTGACTGATTGTCGCATTTCTTCTTGTACTGCATTAGGTATTCATGAATACAATGCAAAAACCCTGTGCATTGCATTTCAGCTAATAGCATTTTTCACTTTCATATATAGAACTATGTTATTTATTCATTTTATATTTCCCAACAGAGCAAACTGGTGATGGAGGGTTTCCGCAGCTTAAAGGAGGGTGAGCAGGTGGAATTCATCTATAAGAAGTCCTCTAAGGGCCTGGAGTCCCTGCGGGTGACCGGACCTGGAGGAGGACCCTGTGCAGGCAGTGAGAGGAGACCTAAAGGGAAGGTTCCACTCGTGAAACGTAAACCAAAGGGAGATCGGTAAGCATTAAAAATGAAATTATTTCATATTATATGCCTCTGGAAATGTAATTATGCTCCCAGTAGAAGGACATCTGACAAAATCTGAGTGTACGTGTGTGAAAGACGGGTGTAGTAAAAATGGGAGTTCACAATTGTACATCTTGAAGCATCCAGCCCTTTCTGAGTGGGCTGAGAGTATAGATTAACTCTATTCAACCTGCCAATGTACATGTCTGTTGCCATGGTTATTGTGTAGTGAAATATGAAAATGAATAGGGCTCTTCACCAGCCATAGGCGCCGCTTTAAATCAATTTGCCAGCGCCTACATTTGTGAGTGTGATTGCGAATAGGCGGTGCCTCTGGAGCTCGATTGTTTCGTCATCATCAGTAACAACCTAAAGAATGATGTGCTCAAATGTGTGAAAGGCAGCCCTGTGGAGCTCCTTGAAAACCCCTGGCGGTTAGAGGTAAGTGTGCTCCCTGTCCACTGAGGACAACGAGAGCGCTTTCACTCCACAACCGCTATAGGCAACTGTGTTGTTTTAAGGATGCATTTGCATTTGAAATCCCAGCCCCGCCATGCTTTGCTACCTGGAGTATTGTTGTACTCCTTTTGAAATTTAGAACATAAACGCTGTTGTTGGACAGCTAGAAACTGTATCTGAGAGGAGACTCCATGATTGTTTTACACAGCTGAATAATTGAGCTCATTTGGGATAATTGATCCAGAGTTGGGTCAAGTGTCTAACTTTTAACAAGCCTGGAAGGAGCCGGTGTTGGATTCATAGATGGCAGGTAGATGACTGTGACGTAATTGGCATCATTGGGCATGCTCAGTGGATGCAGCAGTTTTGAAAGTGATGCCACTCTGACCCCTACTGGCTCTCATGGTGTATAACAACATGCCAACCCTTCAGATCTCTGCTGAGGCAGTCTATTTGCTTTAGGATTTGAACAAATAACTGCTGCTATCTGACAAATATTGTCTCACGTGTTACTTGGTGAAGAGAAAATCTCTTTTGGAAATGCATCTGAGCAAAATAGATTTTCTTTACCTAAGTAAATTATATTTAATCTCCCTGTGAATGGTTTTTGTTTAATACATAATTAATAGTGAGTCATGGCTAAACATGTCAGTGATTGATAAAATGTTCAGTCAAAGGATAAGGATTTTAGGTTTTCTGGCCCTTATTTTACTGACACATCTGTCTATTTGTATTTCTTCTTTTTAAGGTGTTTAAGTCTTTTGCTCCCAAGGATTTACTGTGGTGGTTCAAAAACTTTGTACCTTATGAACCAGTGTCTGTGTTAATAATATTTATAGATAAGAAGAAATACTATCACATGTGTCAAGCTGCTTTGGCTTCATCCGGTCAAAAATGATTAACAACAAAAAAAAATCCATATTTGTCAGTAGAATATCTTAGAAAAACTGAATCAATGAATGACTGAGTTCCTGATTGCTTCCAGTGAAGTGCTAAAAATATATCTTTGTATCTACCTTTTTAATAAGCTATCTGTTTGGTGCAGCTTATATTACAGCTTTGTTGCCTAAGAAAGCTGGGTTTAGATTCCTTAGTTATTGCAGTTGTTTATAGAAAACGAACAACAAAACCATCCCCTTAAATGAAAAGCACACAGTGTCCAGAGAGTATATTAGCTGACACAACAGAAAAAAAAAGTTAATTGTTATGGGCTTACCCTCAAGGATCGATTTTAATCTGTTGACAACCAATTGTCAATCAAAAAACGTTCAGTCAAAGAACAGAGGTTTGCAGAGAACTTAAAAATAAACGACATACCCCCATCTTGTGGTGACGCATGTAATGACAGGTGGAAAATGTTATTTTTGGATGACTGTTTCTACAGGAGCAGGAATTGATGATTAGATGAATGCAAAGCTGTTAGAGGTTGCCAAAGACTCACCAAAAATTCAAACTGTTTTGTTCAGCACTGTGTATTCTATAGCTGTTTTCATTTGCCTCTTTATCCTTTCATTTGCAGCTGTTATAACTGTGGAGGTCTGGATCACCATGCCAAGGAGTGTGGCCTGCCCCCCCAGCCAAAGAAATGCCACTACTGCCAGAGCATCACTCACATGGTAGCCCAGTGTCCCCACAAGGCGCTGGCACCCGGCGCAGGCTCTCAGGACCAACAAGCGTCTACCTCGGCCTCCGCTCCAGGCACGGGGCCTCACCTCCGCCTCCCCGAGGAGGAAGAGCGCTCCGGCTCGTCTCCCCTGGAGGGGTCCTCCTCGTCACCCGAGGAGCCACACACACACCGCAGCTCACGGACCCAAAGGTGGAGGAAATCCTGAAAATGTTCCGTCGAGGTGAACTTTTTTTTCCAACACACAGCCTCTGACCTTTGTGTCTACCCTCAATCAAGGTTACCCCAAGCCCCCCTTCCTCCTCGTCTACCTCACACTTGTGAAAAAAGAAGAAAAAATTGGGAGTTTTTTTTATTATTATTATTTCTTTTATTTTTCATTGTGTTATTTTTCTAACCAGCACAGCTGTGGCAGCGATCAGCGGGGTACATGCGTGCATGAATGTGTGCGACTGACTTGCAGTCATCTGGTGCAGCTATGGAAACGACTGCTAGAAAGGTGACTGCAGGGAATAATTCTTTATGTTTCAATCTGTGCAGCTCAATGGTGAAATGTCATTTGTGTGTAGGTTTTGATGACTGTGCTGTTTCTGCTGCCCCTTGGACCTGCAGGGTGGCTATTTTAAAAGCCCCCTTCCTGCTTATTTTGGAGACCTAAAGCCACAACTTTATACTGTAAACTTAATCATTCAGAGAGAGAGAGAGAGAAAAATCCCGATTGCATCTTCACAGCACACATGGTAGCTCATTTTAAAATGGATTAGGGGACAACTCTTAAGAGCTTGAGTCCCACTAAGTAATAATCCAGACCCACAGGACTTTTAGCCTGGCTTCTAGAGATCTTTTGGGGAAACTTAATGCATTCCTGAGGGGTCGTTTTAAAAAGCTGCTGAGCTGCTAGAGTACGTTTTCTCTCGTTTCAAAACCCTCGATACATATCGCTTTCGTGACACGGACTGGACCAACTGATTGTTGAAGTGTGAGCAAGTGCAAGACTGAGAACAAAGAAGAGGGAGAGTGTGTGCATTTCATGGATACTCCGTAAGAAATCAGAATAGTCAAACTGGAGAATTGTCTTCTTCATGGGCGAATCATGGCTGTTAAAACTCCACCGTTTTCCTATTATCACAGATAGATGCATATTATATAAGGCAAATATATAATTAGTCAAGATAATAGCTTAGGTTTTAAGGAAATGCCTTATCATTAGACTTCCATTTTGATTGTTGCGTAATTAGTTTAAAGTAGTTTTTAATATATACATATATATATATATACATATATATATGTAAAGTGATGAGATATAATTAAAATTATATTAACATTAAGTAAGCATATATAAGGACTTGACTCTGATATAGGTGCACAGCCCTGTTTTAAGTGCATGGGATACGTCATGGTGTGTGAAAATTCTCCCTCTTTACCCATTTTCGATGTAGACAATTCCATTTTTGTCCTCCACTCTTTCTCATACCCATTCGTTTATACAGTCCCTTGCAAAAGTTTTAACACCCCTTTAACTTTTTACATGGATTGTTGTGTAACACAAACTACTCGCCTCAGCACATTTATTGGGTATTTTATGTGCTTGACCAGCATAGAATGAGGGATATTTCAGTTGTAATAAGTAAAAAAAAAAGATAAAAAAAGTTTGCAGAGTGTTTGTATCCAGCACCCCCGGGTCTTTACTTTTTGCTGTGATTAAAGGTGCAAGTCTTTAGTGGTGTGTCGCAGTCACATAATATATCTAATGGAAATTGCAATATGCAATGTTTGAATTATCTGGTTTTGAAAGTCCCAATTTCAAATGATTCCTTGGATGAATTTTTTGATGAAATATAATTTTTCAGGTACCAGTCAATCAATTTCTGCATGCCAGCAATTTATTTGGCCAACAGTATGAGAATGTTGTCAATATGTAACAACAATGGAGAGAGAAAAAAATATTTGGCTTGCCACAGTTTCTCAAATGGATTTTGCTTTGGTCTTTGACTAGGCCATTCCAAAATACCAATATGCTTTGATCTGAACTATAGGAGCTCTGTCTGTGTTAATTGCCGTCTTGTTGAAAGGTGATCCTCAAGGATCAAGTGTTTTTTTTTCTTTCTTTTTTTCCTGGACTATCCCGTATTTTAGCTCCATCCATCTTCCCATCAAATACTTCCAAGTTTTATAAGATAGATTTTTTTGAGAGTTGTCAGACTGAAGGGGGGCTGAGTACTAATACACACCACACTTTGTTGATTCTTAGATAATCTAATATATGTCTTACTCCTGCCCTTCCACAAAAAACCCTAATGATATTCATTGAAGTTGTGTCAAAGTGTAAAGGGCATAACACATTTGCAAGGCATTGCATGGTCACAGCACAAAACTCACCTTGAAGGTGTAGTTTCTAGCATAACCTCATTATCATAGCTGCTTACTCACATGATACCTCACAACTTCTTCCTTCGGGAAGTGAATGTCGACAATGTCTACTCTCTTAGTGTTTTTTTAAAAATGTTTTTCAGTAAAGTCAAACCATATTTTCCTCATCCGTCAGTGCCTAGCGTTTGTCAGTCAGCACCAGTCAGGTGATGGGATGACGTCTCTGCTGCTGCTGCTCCAGTCTCAAAACAGTGGAGGGAGAAAAAGCCGGACGGATTGTGTTGCTTTTGGTATAACTTGAATCCCAAACACGTTATGGCTTTAGTGGCACTTACTGACCCTAACAACTCTTCTTTGACCATACTGAATGTGAAAAGAGCTCATCTGAAGTCGACTCCTCACAAAGGTCACGTAAGGTCGCTTTGGAGTTGTATCTTAATGTTCTGACAAATCAAATAACTTTGTACAAGTATATCAAACTGGCATGTGGGCTTTAGAAAAGCTCTGTAAAGACAACCAACTTTTTTGGTATATTTCTATACCAAAGAGGTTTGGCTTTTTTGTTTGTTTGTTTGTTTGTTTTTCCTTTTCTTGAAGGCATTTAAAGTTAAGACTTGCTGAAGTGTTTGCTTTTTCGGAAATAGAGCAACTTCTTGTTAAAAGTGCAGCAAAGCGTTTTCTAAATAATATACAGCTTTGAATGTGTGCGTGCATTGAAAATCAAATAACAAATGCAGCTTGGCAGAAAAAACAAAACAAAACAAAACAAAAAAAACAAACTGGTTGACCAAACTGCAACTCATGCTTAAATCTCTATGGAAACATCTTTTTGTATTACATATTTTTTACATTTTTAAACACAGCTCCTCTCAGGATGATGAACTCGTCTCAGGGAATTAACAAAAAAATAAAAAAAAAAAAAAAAAGCAAAGAAAAAAAAAGCAAACAAGTGTTTATTGTTCTTTTGGGAATCATCCACTGACGGGCTCCACAAACTCTTAAGCAGCGACGAAGAGACATATAACCAGTTCACTTACTGATGATAGCAACTACCTCCTGAGTTACATATAGCTGTTGGTTTCTGGGTTTTTTTGTTGTTATTTTTTAATCGAGCTGTATTATTATTATTAGTTTGTATAATAATCGTCATAGTCAGTATTTTGTGTTGCCACAGATTACCCCGTCTTCCTTTCCAGATTTTTTTTTTTATACTGGAAAACTATTGCTTTTTTGTTTACAGCAAAAAAAAAAAAACTACCTCATTAGCACTATTCCTCAACAGGCTCCTAACCTGCTCCCAGGTCGCATGCCTCCTCCATGCTGTTATTTTTTTAATTATCATTACTTTGTGTCACGATGCTTTTAAGAAATCAGCCCTGATGTGGCTTTTCACTTGTTTCTCCGTCATTTATTTCTTTTTACTTGCCGCTTTTCCTAAAAGCTTTCGCAAGATCTCAAATCTGCGAGTAATGAGTGAATAACCATTACTTTGCACAAAGCCAGTGAGTTTACCTCAGCTTGTTGGGCTAGCTATTCACAAATGTAATATTTTATGGTTGTGAGACTCATTTTTAAGATACTACGACTGTTTTTTTGACTTTGACTTTGCATTGTATCTTGACTGTCTTTTTTACAACAACTTGGTGATGATTTGCCTAAGGAGAAAAAGAATAGATTTGCACTTGAGCAAAGATTCCCTGTGTTTTTTGTTTTTATCAGTTTGTTACCAAATAGATATTATTACCTGTTTGCAGACTCCATGGTAATGGTCTTAGTCAGCCATTTTCACAGCTAAAGATAATCAAAAGTTGTTTCTGTTAGATATTGCTAATTGAGGTTAATGATAACATTCGTGCAAGCTTATTTGTTTTAAATATACTGGAGACAATAACATTTACTCTTAAAAATCTGTAGGTTTTGTACTAAACGTGATTTGTTTTCATTTAGTGACATTCCTAAAAGTGTTATTGAATTCAAGAGATTAAAGTTGCGTATAAAAACAGTGTTACTCTTCAAAATCAACAGAGAAAATGACTGTGGACCTGCACATGGGACAGAAAGCCAGATGAGCTCTGGGATGTATACACAAACATGATTTTCCAGTGTTATTGTTAGCTTTAATATTTGATCTTGATCAGTTTACAGTGCTTTGAAAAACTTTCTCTCCTGTACTCCTGGTTTTAGATTTGTTTTCCACATCTAAATGTTTCAGATCATAAACACAATTTTCTTTACAAACAGAGTAAATCCAGAAAGCAGTTTCCCCAAAAATTTGATTAAGGGAGGATGTCTATAGAGCCCCCTGTTAAATCATAACTGTGATTAATTACATTTTCTGGTTCAAGTTCTCCTGCCACAACTGAACCCGTCTGACGACAAATACAATCTCACAAGTCATCACATCCTGCCACAATTTGAAACAATTCAAGAGCAAAAAAAAAGAGAGAAAAATGATTAACGCCTATCAGTTTTTATCAATTTCCAGTGCTTTGAGATTCCAGAAGAAAATGTAACCTTCCCTGGGGTTGAGAGGCAGCCTACAAAAATCACTCCAAGAACACGCTAACACTTATCCAGGAGGTAAAAAAAACAAACTGATTTAGTGTTTGAATGGGGATGAATTCTTATCTCTGCCAGAAGATCTTGTAGAAAAATGTCTACCACATGCAGCAGGATGGCGATCCAATGCATGCTAACAATTCCAATTCAGAAATACAAAATGGAGGTTATGGAATCGTCCCTAACCTTCATGGACAATCACACTGGTTTAAGTGTGATGGCGATACCTTAAACTGCAGTCTGTGCCTAGAAAATAAAAATTTATTGCCAATCATTCCAAACACTTAGTGGCAGTTGCTGTCACAACAAGGCGTCGTAAATGGAAGGGAAAATATTTTCCCACTGAATAAATGAAGGTATCATTTCAAAACTTAATTTTGTATTTATTTCAATTATGTTTGTCTATTATATAGAGGATTTGAAACATTTAGGTTTGCCAAAAAAAAGTTTATAAAATTGGAGAAAATCCGTTGGTGAGTGGGGGGGAAATATCTATTAAAAAGCACTGAAACTACTGACTAATGTATTTGATGGCACAAATTAACAATGTGTGGTTTTTAAAGGCAGCATAAAGTGTAAGACATTTCAGATTTAGTTTTTTTTTCCTCCTATGCGTTGCTATTTTCTCAACTGCCTTAAGTATTGAATTATGTGTACTTTAAAGTAAAAAAAAAAGCATAAAACATGAAATCATAAAAAATGTTGATTCTGCATATGGCTAATGAAAATCTGATGATGTTAAAGGAAATTTAAAGACACAACAGAGCAAGAAAAAAGTTTAAAGGATTCCATGCAATGTTTTGTGTTTTTTTGCTAAGGAACTTACATTGAGGAGCATCATACCAAGCAACTATTTTTTTTTTTGTTTGTTTATGAAGCGACAAGAAAAAGGCCTTTTTCCTCATTGTCAGGAAAATTATTTAATTCTTTGTTTGCAAAGAACGTCCTTTTTTATCTCAAATAAATCTTGTTTTATTTGAGATAGCTAGGATTGTTTATAATGCTTCTTCAAAATGCCCTTGATTGTTTGAATTGGTTCATTATTTTGTGAAGTTTATTGCCTTGTAATTTCTACAGACCACTGAAAGGATCCAGTGTTAAACTCACCTCTGTCTGGCAGAAATAATTCTTCAAATCCTTTAAAATAACCCTTTAGTTATTTGTTAGACATTTCTTATGTCATTGCCTATTGATGGAGAAGAACCTTCAATTTCTGTCTAGACAGGCAGCTCACTTCATTTGGATTTGAAGTTTTTGTGTGGAAAACGTTTGACCTTTGAAATGTTGATTTTTA